CTTAAGGACTAGTAAAATCAGGTACGACTAGTAAAATATAACTTCGAGATGATGTGCGGGACACCTTAAAAGCTGACATATAACAATAAATTGATCATTATTTACCTTGTAAAACTTTACGTTTTTAATGTCGAATTTTGTTGGATAATCCGGACGTTTAAATTATGTATAATACAAACTTCAAAATTTGTCAATACCTTTATTCTTAATCAAGGAAGGCACTTGTATAGTGCCATTAATACATTATATAAAAATCAGGAAAGGGGAAGATCCCTCATAGCATTGTAAACAACAGTATAATGTTAAAATGGCAGACTTTGTTATATTGAGTCTGTTCATGAGGGAAAATGTAGAAGAACAATATCTTTCATGCACACGAGCACCGTCTTTTAAGCGGTATTCAATTTTCATTATTCAATGATCCCGAAGGACCAGAACAATACAACCACACTGAAGTGAGGTACGGGGAAACCTTTTTTCTGCTTTCATATGGCACTCGGCAGGCATACATGTATAATATCTGGAAAACGGGCAATCCACTGAAAGCAATTTAAGTAGACAGTTCATGACCTTTGGCAGGTTATATGAGAGCTTATTTTAGCCATTAATTGCTGTATGACCGTTTATACTACGTTTTACATGTTTCTTTCTTTCTTTCTTTCTTTCTTTCTTTCTTTCTTTCTTTCTTTTTTCTTCTTTCTTTTTCTTTCTTTTTCTATTTCTTTCTTTCTTTCTTTTTTTCTTTCTTTCTTTCTTTTGTTTTCATCGAACATTTGAATAATAACACCAAAAGCCATACAAAAGTAATACATCAATTATGAATTTGCTGCATATTCTTATTATTTGTGTGATTCAAAAATTGTCTTGTGTTTGGCCTTGTAGTCTAATTTATATCTTGTCACTTCTAATATTCATGTATATTTTATGATGGAACAGCTGTCGTGTATTTTAAGTAGTTTTCTGTTTATTTAAACGTTAAATGTGCACGTTATTAATTTCTTTACATAAATAATCATGAAAACGTTTTGTCCGTTTGTTTATATTTATGGCTGCATGGGATAAGACAGCATAAACAAATAAGGGGCAAGTTAAGTATTTAAGCTGTGTCAATGGTTGATTGATTACTTGATAACATTTAAGAAATCCATGAGGAATCCATGAAACTCCCAGCATCCATTGTATCAATAAATATTTAGTCGCACATTTCATCCGAAATAACAATGCCATATGACCTTACCAGAACATAATTTGCATAATGAAATTTGGTTTTGGATTTCACCAACATAATTCAGGTCATATGGCACCGAAACAGAAAGATGATTTTGTCTAACCTCGGGTGATACGAACTTAAACCAACACCAGCGATCATAACCACCCCGCAGGCTGGAGCTAAGAGATGCATAGACTCCAGGAATTAGAACCCATTAAGTCGTCTTTTACGATAACGCCTGGATCAATGGTGGCTGCAATTCCTCAATGTCAACCCTTTAAAGACAATCCCTCAGCCACAAGGGGGATATAATGAAATAAAATAGAAAAATATATGAAAGAATCAAAGATGAACTTTCAATAAATGTCACCTAAACTCACACTCATGTATTATGTTGGCATTTAATTACAATATTAATAACTTTTTAACTTACATATAATGTTCCGTTTAATTTTTACCTTTCCATGATTGTAACAAATGTAGCTGCAGAATGCATTTATATTATACTGGTGAAGCCATTTTATATTGTTATAGAGGAATCCATCGCAGCACTGCCCCACGTTCGAGGCTTTTTCGTTGGAAATATATCTTGAGATGATAGTTTAGACATAAATAAAGCCAATCACCCAATGATATAAGTACATGTAATATTTACTTCCCCCTTTTTAAAACAATTCGTCGTATGACTATATTAGTTTACATTCCGTTACTTAAATGTACTTAATATTAAAAACGTAATAAATATTAATCAGCCAAAGGACTAAAATGTCGAAAATCTCAAGATTTTAAGGACTGGCTTGTTAATTGTTATATTACAGAAATTTTTAAGTTTAACTTTTTAGATCAACAAATACGTTGACAGTTCCAACTAGACAAGGTCTCTCGCTTAATTACCTAATTACGGTCTCTCCAAATGCAATGTAATCACTCGCTTAATTACTTAATTACGGTCTCTCCAAATGCAATGTAATCACTCGCTTAATTACCTAATTACGGTCTCTCCAAATGCAATATAATCACTCGCTTAATTACTTAATTACGTTTTTATGCTCCCCGAAAAATTTCGGGGGAGCATATAGTCGTCGGGTTGTCCGTCCGTCCGTCAGTCCGTCCGTACGTAACGTACGTACGTAGTACTACGTACGTAAACGTAATTCGTGTCCGGCCCTAAACCCTTTGTTATTCGAAGTTCCCGGATTTTAAAACTATTATCACAGAAAATGATCAAACCAATATTTGAGCGACGAACGTGTCGCGCGGCGAACATTTTGGGTTGCTACCCTTTGAAGGTCAAGGTCACAGCATGTTGACCTTTGCAGCAAAATTCCGTGTCCCGGTCCATAATTCCTTCATTATTTGAAGTCGGATTTTATAAAAATTTCTCAACAGAAATGATCACCATATTTGAGACAATGTGTCCGCGGCGCAACAATTTGGGTCGCTACCTTTGAAGGTCAAGGTTCTCAAGGTCACAGCATGACCTTGGCAGGCAAAATCGTGTCCGGTCCATAACTTTCATTATTTTGAAGTAGGGGATTTTAAAAAATATCTCAACAGAAGAAAATGATCACCATATTGAGACGAGATGTGTTCGCGTGCAAACATTTGGGTCGGCTAAAACCTTGAAGGTCAAGGTTCACAGCAATGGACCCCTGGCAGAAAAATCGTGTCCCGGGTCCATTAACTTCATTAATTTGAAGTCGGATTTTTTAAAAATATTTCACAGAAATTGATCACCATATTGAGACGATGTGTCGCTCGCACACATTTGGGTCGCTAAACCTTGAAGGTCAGGGTCACAGCATGCACCCTTGCAGCAAAATCCGTGTCCCGGCCCATTACTTTGTTATTTGAAGTCGGATTTAAAAACTATTTCACAGAAATGATCACAATATTGAGACGATGTGTTTCGCGGCGCAACATTTGGGTTTGCTAACCTTGGAAGGTCAAGGTCACCAAACATGACCTTGCCAGCAAAAGTTATGTCCGGTCCATTACTTTGTTTATTTGAAGTTGGATTTTTAAAACTATTTCACAGAAATGATCACCTTATTGAGGACGATGTGTCGCGTTGCCCCAATATCTGGGTTGCCTTCCTTGAAGGTCAAGGTCACAGCATGACCTTGCAGCAAAATCGTGTCCGGTCCATAACTTCGTTATTTTGAAGTCGGATTTTAAAACTTTTCACAGAAATGATCACCATATTTGAGAACGATGTGTCGCGCGCAACATTTGGGTAGCTACCTTGAAGGTCAAGGTCACAGCATGACCTTGCAGCAAAAATCGTGTCCGGCCCATTACTTTAATTTGAAGTCGAATTTTAAAAACTTTTTCACAAAAATTGATCACCATATTGAGACGACGTGTCGCGCGCAACATTTTGGTCGCTACCTTTGAAGGTCAAGGTCACAGCATGACCTTGCAAGCAAAATCGTGGTCTGGTCCATAACTCTTTGTTATTTGAAGTTTCGGATTTTAAAAAATATTTCACAGAAATGATCACCATATTGTAGACGCAGGGTCTGGAACATTTGGGTCTCCACCTTGAAGGTCAAGGTCACAGTATGACCTTGCAGCAAAAAGCGTGTAAGGCCCATAACTTTGTTACTGGAAGTCGGATTTAACAACTGTTTCACAGAGATGATCACCATAATTATTGAACCGACATGCCACATGCAACATTTGGGTCCCTACCTTGAAGGTCAAGGTCATGTCATGACCTTGCAGCTAAAACATGTCCGGCGCATTACTTCGTTATTTGAAGTCGGATTTTACAACTATTTCACAAAAATGATCACAATATTGAGACAATGTGTTGTGCACAATATTTGGGTTGTTTTTACACTTTGAAACTTTGTCTGTGGCATAACTCTGACACAACAAGAGGTATACCTTCCCGTGTCCAAAACCTAATCGGGGAGCATCACCCGGTTCAACCGGCTCTTGTTTTTTACAGATTCCATATTTTTGTTAGGAAGATACAAACGACCATATATTTAACTTTCCATATAATGCTAAGCATTTTTTGGGGGATATTATGAAATTATTTTCTTTGTGAAAAAGCAAAGTGACCACTGAAACATTTTCGAATTTGAAACGTGTTTATTGGATTTAACAGCCCTAAAACGACTTAGATATTTCACAAAACCTTGTGAAATTATGTTTGGATTCTAATCCTCATAAAAAGACTCACATCATAAATTATCAGAACAAACTAGCGAAAGAAAAATTCTGGAAACAAAGTGAACTTTCGGAAGCATTAATCACAACAAAATAACATAAGAATTGCAGACTCGGTTTGATTGAGTCTGTACATGAGGGATAATGAATAAGTGCAACATCCCTCACGCCCCCTAGCACCGGCTTGAGCGGTACTCAATTCTCAACACTTTATAGTGTTGGCATCAATGATCCCGAAGGACCAGAAAATATATCAACACTGAAAAAAATCACACGTGCAAAACAATAAAGTAGAATTTTGGGATATAAATCTTAATGAAGGCAAACAACTTGAAAGGTATTTGAAATGCCCATAGTCTAAGTAACACATATAAAAATAAGGTATATGTAGATGTTTTTTTTTTGTCATTCAACATTGTAAGTCATTGATACTGTGTATTTCAGCACATTGTTGCTAACCATGGTATGGGCAATAATCGAACGCTAAATTAATGTTTCATGGAAAATGTGACAAATGAGTCAATGCTTCTTGTTGCGGATGCCATTGCTGAATATTGTCATGAAAAACAACAAATATCGGTTTCAAAGTGTAAATAATTTTCATTTCAAAGTATATTAAATTTATACATAGATATCTATTTCCAAATAAATAAAATTGAGTAAACAATGAACATAAACAAAATACAAAACAAGATAAACTACAGTCAATAACCAATGTTGAGTAATCCCCATTTGTCCAGAATGTCAAGGTTTCTAACTTCTATTTAATTTTAAAAGTAATTCATCGCATACAGAAGAGAACGTTTTAATGGTCGACGTTTAACTGACTTTACTAATATCTTCTTATTTAATTACTTTGTAAACATTCTAAATGTTAAAAATGGTTAAATATTGTCATGTTATGTCTTTTATGACTCACACAAAAGTGACATATTTGTTATAACTACAAGATTAACCCATTAAACGTGTATAAACTTTGATATCAATCTTTTATCTTGAAAATTGTCAGTTTGTTAGTGGATTCCATACATTTCATATTATTTATCTCCCTATCTTCCATTATATTCCCAGGTATTGTATGTTGAATTTTAAAGAGTCACATGTATGCCCTATCAAATACAGCGCAATACATATAATTAACGTTCATAAGCCAGTATTCTATCGAATATTTAGCAGTGACTGGCATGTTTTGCTTATATCTTGCTTATTTGAAATTATTTGAGGTCTGTTTTACAATTGATAGATATTGGCTCTGAAATTTGAATATTGTTTTATTAGATGCCTGCGGTATTCTAATTGCAGTCATCAGAACTGTAATTGTAATAAGTATGATGACGTCTATTAAGACAATAAGACATGAACTGAAATAATGTAGCATTTTATTGATGAACGTATGAATGTAATAAACTTTACACATTTATCAGATCTACAAAACTTTTGATTTTATTATTTCTATTAAATCTCTTCACAATTGTTTTTATCGTTTTCACTTGCTGCTCAAATGTTTTTGAATTCCACGTGAGAATAAATCATGTAATTATTTAGCTTTCTGTTCGAATCAACAATAGGAAGAGATTATTTTATAAAATTGAAATTCAACACTTCTCATATAGTGGTCATTAAGAGGATTTTATTGTGATGCTAAAAAAAATAAAAAAAATTGTGATGTGCTGAGATGATACATTTCCATTTCCTCTCATATACTGACTGAAACAATCAGATACTGCTATTTTCAGCTGTTTGTTTTTCCCCTTCTTTTTATGGCAGTCGAGGAGTCTACATTTCCAGACTGTTATAATATCAACCGCGATCTTCATGTTTATGTGAATGTAAAGATATGTTGCAAATACAAACAATGCTAACAGCAACATTTGCAAGTAATTTAACACCTGAAATAGAGCATTCAAATTTATACTCTTAGCGAACTGTCTTAAAGCAATACAATAAAAAGACAATAAAACCCTTCCTCTCGTGTGGCTCTTACAAACGATAATGCCGGATATAATATCTTTTTATTCCAGGAAATCAATTAAACAAATGGTGTGTAGGAGAAATGTTGGTGCATGTTAAATATGTATTTATTCTGCAAAACGGTTTCCAGAAATATTTTTCTCACATTTTCCTTTCTTAAAGAAAATCTTCCAAAATGTACCCTTTATCACATTTGAATTTAAAATGTTAACCGAAGTAGAAAAGATGTTTACATTTTTTATATAATATAATGTTACCTAATCCCGAATAATGCCGAATAATGCCGAATAATGCTAATACAACAGTAATCACTAACCATCTTAGACATACAAAAACAAACTTACAAAACATTTAATACTTAGACTTTTCTTAGAACTGATAATATAATACAAAAACCTTCCACTCATGTTTTTCTTGAAAATGACGATATTTGTTCAAACGCTGTTTTCTCCGGAATCAAAATGTCAAGTGACTCTGAAAAACAACAGATGCATATGTTAAAATTTTATCATTTCAAAACACAATACCTTTAAACATGACCGCGGAAGACATTTTCAATAAATTTTTATTTGCATTTTTTTTACATTACATTAACTATCTTTAACAAAAATAAATAAATCATTTACGGAGCTAATGACGAAATAGTCAAGATAAAGTTAGTTAGAATTAGAGCAAAGCCAAAAATGCATATAAAGGAAACTAGGTTATCTGCTTATTTGTTAATTATTCTCATAAATCCTGCGCCGATATGGTTAAGTGTTTATTGGATACGCTTATTTGGACAGACACGATTATCCAAACTTAAATAATATTTACAAGTTATCTAGATATGTGCGCCAATATCTAAATGCACTATAATCATTTAAAACATTCACTGTTTGTCGAAGACCTATAGGTAGAAAATACAAGAACTAGTATGTTGTTAATAATGTGTATACAAAACATAATACAGTATACCATATGTATTAAAACCATTAGTACTTTAACTATATAAACTTATACATGACAATTTACTCCAAAGAGGAGGATGCATGTTAATTCATAATCGTTCAGATAATTGCTTCAAAGTTTTATGCCATTAGTGAGATTTGTATAAACAATGTGCCCCCCCCCCCCTATATTAATAGTCCATTTAGCTTATTGTTGTTTTTTCCCCATTATATTATGCAATATTATGATCTTTGTGTTAACATTGTAGAATTTTTACATATTACACATGGAATGACAACAGCTGCTTTGTACTTCCCGTTAATATCATTAAGACGAGAGGGTTGTTTGTTTATCTAAACGTCATATGATGAATTGTGTGTCATACAAACTACATTATAATACAATAGAGAATAATAATTATTATTTTTGTCAATAGCACACGTGTTCGTTAAACAAATAATCTTCATTTTAAGACGCTTAATACAATAATACAACAAAAACTACAGAAAAAAACAGTATATGCAAACATTTCCTGGTACAAAAACAAATCTCCATTTTAAGACGCCTACTGCAATAATACAACAATCAAAGGGCTGCAAGCTCAGTGGTATTTTCTGATCCCTGCAATCTAAATCGTACTGTATATCTGTATGTGTTTTCCTGTATAAGTTTATTTTTATGTACTATAAGTCATCTTGCAGGGCACCAGAGTTTGATACATACGGGATTTTGCATAACTAGAGTTGCATCAAAAAATAATTTATGTTAACTTTTTATGATAGCCACACTTTATCCTTGCATAACGCGGCTATTTCCTTAACAAAGACACTAAAAAAAAAAAGAATTAAAAAGATGTTGACTCGACTAGGATTTGAACTCCAGACCTCTCACACACTAAACGAGCGCGTTACCCCTGCACCAGCGTTACCCCTGCACCACGGAGAAGTTTTATAACCAAAAGCTGAATAAAATCAAGTCATTCTAAATTTAGAATTTCCATTGCATTTCGGGTTAGGGTAATTTCGAGGTATTTTGTTCAGGGTAAACCTGTTGTTTAAAATTGAAGTAAATAATTTAGCAAAAATCTTCTCGCCCAAACAGTCCAACATGTAGAAACTATATATTCAACTACTCGGCAGTCAGATTTATTTGTGTAGTATTCGGTAATCGACATCGCTAAAAATAGCATTTTCATTGATTAAAATCATATTCATCCGCGTAATTTGTGAGTGTGCATTTATTGACAACTCTATAAGCCAACGCTACTTTAAAAGTTTGAAAGTGTAGTAATTTGTTGGACACTTGTAACAAAAAATTGTTCTTTCTTTAAAATTGCTGGTTTTTAAGCAGTTTTGAGTGAGAACTAATTTGCGTTGTTAGGACTGTTAGGAAATTTTGTGTTAGACCGTGGATGTTAGCTATGTATTATCTGATCTGCGATCAGAAAATACAAAAACTACAGAAAATACAATATATGCAAACATTTCCTGGTACAAAATATTTATTTCCGACTTACCCTAGCTTTACGCGGTTTAGGCTATTAAATTGATTTAGTTTCCGTTGCGATTAACTGCAGTTATATTAACTGTAGATGTTTTTGTTTATTTTCTCTCTTAAACTGAGGTTTTGTGTCACGTGATTAATCGTGATCATTAATATAATTAGAATAAAGCTGTACAACAATGACATACAAAATGTTCGAGCAAAGATTGAAAACCTTCAATTGCTTGCTTTGATTTTTTGCTTTATGACAAATATCGTTGTTTTATTATTTCCTTATATTTCATATGAGAGAAATATTATATCAAATTGATATTAATGATCAACATTATTTTTTGTCCAATCACATTGTAGTATTTTTCAAATTTCTGCTAAGTCTAACTTTGGTTAATGTGTACTAACTAAATAAAATTTACTTAATCTGTCGTCTAACCTGAGTCTAACAAATTTCATTAGGGAGGAGTTAGATGTGTGGTTTGCACTCTGAATTGTAAAATATCTAGGTTAGCAAAACAATGCCAACGTAAAAAAACAATTAAGCGAGGTCAAGTGTTTCTAAATATGAGGATACAATCAATTAATTTATTACATAGATAATACATGTGGGGTATGCAGAGACAAATGATTTGTTGATAGGGACATTTATTTAGCTTATCTAAATGTGATATGTTAGAAACTGGACAAGGTGTAGACATCTTACAAGCTATCGGTGATTTAGTTCAAGATTTCAAGATTTTATTATTCACTCAATACACAATACATGTAAATATGAGGTAAATAACAAATTACAAATGTTAACGAGGTTAATAGTATGTAACTCACACATCTTACAATATTCTTTTAACATAGACAGGAGAAAGTTTTACATTCATACAAAATAAAATGAATTATTTAAAAAATATTTATCAAAGTTTAAATATAATAATTCAGTTCAATATTTTTCTAAGATTATTTTTATAAACATGCAAAGTTTTTTATATATCACATAATTAGAGGGGTCAGTGTTCATTAATTTATCAAACTTTATTATATTTGGATTTCTATAATAGATTTCAGAGATATATTTTTTTCTATCCGTATTAAGATTTGGGCATTCTAATAGAAAATGAAATTCATCGCCTATGTTATGATTGCAGAGAGTGCATTTTTCTCTGTTCTAAAGGGATCCTATGCCAATTTCCAGTTTCGACCGGTAGTTTATGATTTCTGGTTCTGAATTTGATCATATATTTTAAATATTTGGAAGGTGTTTTCACTAAGATATTTTCTCAATTTCAAATTTTCTTTTAAAAATACAATAATTTTTGCAATTAGATGTGTTTTTTCCAGACCTGAGTACACTGATTTATGAATATATCTGATAATTTTTGTTTAACTGATTTAACTAGCCAATTTACGTTTAGGAAATTCATGACTCATCCAAATATTAGCCATTCCACATTCTATAAAAATATCTTTTATGCAAGTTATCCATTTGAAATTGAAATTTGAGTGACTATTTTTAAAATTACTCAATGCAACTGCATATATTTCTGTTTGTAAGCTTTTTTGTAATTTGTTACAATTAGTTTTGCCCAAAATGAAATCATCCTTGCTTTAATTTCTATTGATAACGGTTTGGTACCAGTTTCACCATAAACAATTATATTAGAAGTATTTTTCTTAAGACATAAAATATGTTTTAAAAACTTAAGTTGCACTCTTCAACAATGTCTAAATTTCCAAATCACCAGATTTCAACAGCCATATAAAAGTATAGGTTTAACCATTTTATTAAAAAGATCAATTTGAATATTTATAGGTAAGCAGAGATGTTTGCATTTTTTTAAATTAAAAAATACATAGCTTTTGTAGCTTGTTTGGCAATTTTCTTGCTTTGTTTTGAAAAAAGAAACCAGATCTGTTAAATAAGACACCTAAATATTTGTATTCATTTACGATTTCTAAAGTTTCGTTTTTGAATGTAAAAGTGTATTCGCGTTGTCTACCTCTTGAAAATACAAGTACTTTCGTTTTAGAAGAATTTAATTTAAGTCTTCAAGCATCACAGTAATCAGCGTAGATATTTTAAAAGATTTTGCAAGTCTTCTGCAGATTCTGCCATTAAAACGGTGTCATCTGCATAAAGGAGTATGAAAAGTTTTACAAAATTTATAGCTTCTGTTTCGAACTCATGTTTGTTGCATTTTACACCTGATGCTATATTACTACTATTAATAAAATCACTTAGAGAAAAAAGTAGGGGAGATAAATTTTCACCCTGACGGACGCCCACATTACAAGGGAAATAATCAGTTTTTACTCCATTTACAAAAATGCATGACTTAGCTTTTTCATACATGTTTTTTTATAACATTTAAGAAAGATCCATTTATATTGTTAAGAATAAGTTTTCCCCAAAGACCCTCTCTCCAAATAGTATCGAATGCTGTCTTTAAGTCGACAAAAGCCACAAAATAAAGATTTTTTACTGGTTTCTTAGAATTTCTATTAGCGAATTTAAAACAAATAAGTTATCTGCTGTTGAATAACCTTTACGGAAACCGGCTTGGCATTTATCAATTAAGTCGTTGTCAGTACAATATTGTTCTAGTCTGTTATTTAAGATTAACGTAAACAATTTACCAAGGCAGCTTAAAAGGGTTATTGGTCGATAATTTGATGGATCAGAAGGGCTACCTTTATTTTTAAATATTGGGTTTATTAAACCTGAAGTCCATGCGATAGGTATTTTGCCTGTTTTGAATACTATATTGAATAATTTAAGAAATATTTCTTTAGTTTTAGGAAACGAATATTTCAAATGTTCATTCAATACATTGTCAATACCACTGGCTTTATTATTTTTCAAATGTTTGATAGCTTTTTCAATTTCTTGTATTGTTATGGGTTTGTTTAAGAATTCATTTGTTTCTATATTTATTAAATTATCATTTTCAACATAGTCAGTTTCCTCACAATAGTTTATATCTTTAAAATAGTCGTAAAGTTGATTTATGTCTGCACCTATTTTATTTTTTTTTTCTTTCCATTTAATAATTTCCAAAATTTTTGAGGCGAATGTGATTTGAGTTTCTTAAGTTTCTCTACATTAGAGAATACAAATTTTTTATGACTTTCATGCAGCACATTTTTATATTTTTTACTTTGATTTTTTAGACTCATTCTATTTTCGTCGCTTTTCCGTAATTTATAGAGATGTTTGGCAGAATGAAATTTTTTTCTAGCTCTATGGCAATTATTATCAAACCATTGTTTTTGTTTAATTTTTTTATTATTATTATGATTATGATTATTATCATTATTTAAAGTGTTTATGTATTTCACACCGGACGTTTCTTCAGAAGATTGTACAAGCAATTCGGAAATTTCCTCAGTTACTTCATTTAACTCATTGCCTATATTATCAAGCGTTTCTATATTCAAAAGCTTTGAGTAGATATCACAAAGCCTATCTTCCTTGATATTAGAACAATAAACATGTGCTTTGTCTTGATCAAATATCGTGAATTTATTTAACTTTGGTGTTGAGTCATTTAAAGGCTTGTTGCAAAAATCTAATAAAAGTGAGATCGGGCAATGGACATCAGAATACATAGGGCAAAAAATCGTGCACAGTCAACTATCGACAAACTTAAACATATTCAGATGTACAAATAAAAATAATCAACGCTACTAACATTTTTACAGGTACAATTGCCATTTAAATCACCATTCGTTCTACCATTCAATATAAACATATCATTTGCATGTAAAAAAATTCGACAAATCTATAGCCATAATTATTAACACTTCTATCACAATTATTTCTTTGTCGCTTAACAGTAGTGCAATAATTAAACTTTCAATGTTTTCGTTCAGTTCAAAGTATAGATCATCTAGATTATTGATATGAAAAATATCATAATTCGTTTCAACAATATCATTAAGTAATTTTGTTCTGGAGTTCCAATCCCCAAACATACATATACTAGAAGAGTTTTCTGAAAATTTCTCTATTTCATATTGTATTTCTGAAAATGGGTCTGGATTAGAAAAATCTGAGTTTTCTGGTGGCACGTATACTACACCATACAAAGTATTTTCATTTGCAATTATTTTATCGGAAATTTTGAACCATAAAACTAACTTACTGTCACTCTCTAAAATCGTTATATATGGACTTAATGTTTCTCTAACACAAAGAACAATACCACCAGACTTGCGTTTTGCAATTTCTTTTCTGTGCTTAAAAAATAGTGAAATGCCTTGTTTTTGGTTGAAAAAATAATGTTGATCATTAAATAGGTAAATGTTTAATAATATGCATTAACAAAAATAATTGGTCGCCTGCCTGCGACAGGCTTAACAAATTATTTTTGTTAATACATATTATCAAACACTAACCTATACATAATAGCTGATAGAATTTCTTTTTTTCAATGACAATTTTATGTTTTCATATTTTCTCTGATATCAGATATGATCTAACTCTGTTGACAACTATGGTAATGTTATCTGAGAGGATATGTGAAATGAAGAGAACTGTAATATGATGTGTCGTTTAATGTCCCTAATAAAAATATTTAAATGTCAACACACGACAACTTTGTAATGTTCGCTTTAAGAGATATACTTTATTATAATTGTTATTGTTCAAATGCTATCAGAAGCAAAAACATATTTTTGGGATTTTTGATGATTACAGAATGATAGTATGAAGCAGATTCATATTAATCCATTTATTATATTGACCTAGAATACTGGCTTTATTACAAGTTTCTTTCAAAACATATTTGAACCATCAAAATGGTGTCACTTATAGGGCATTGCCATCAAAATAATCAATAAATAGGCTGTTTTGGTTATACAAATATTGAACTGATGCAAATAACTTTTTGTATTATGAGCCGAAAGTACACATACATGTATTTTCCTTTAATCGAAGCAGCTATAAACTAAAGATGTCAGTAAAATATTTATAAATAATGTGTCTATAGGGCAATGACTCCTAATATTTACTTTGATAATAATCATAACATATATTGTTATGATTATATAAATATTAAAGTTATAGCAGATAACAATATTTTATATTATATAATTTAAAGAACAGAATTGCATTCTCCCTTTTGAATCACATCAACATGCAAGTGTACATTTCTATAGTGATTTTCTTTGCATTCTGTTGAAAGCTTAATGAATATTGTCTACTAATTTTAATCAGTTTTTATCAAATACATGATTCTTAAACACTTGGTGTTAATGCAACTTAACAGATAAACAAAATTCACGGTTTTATTTCATTTTCGTTATTCTATTTTTTTTTGTTTTGCTTTATATGCTTGTATAATTATGTATTTCGGTTTGTAATCATACATTTTTTTCGAAATTTGATAAACATTTGTATTTCTTTTATATCTTTTGTTACTTTAGACTACACCAGAGCTTATAAATAAGCCATTTTTTTCATTCTGGTATTTAACTTTAACACAGGAAACTATATAAGGAAGTATCAACAAAAGGGAGCGACGTTTACGAAATGCAGCCACCACAAAAAATATACATACTGGACCACTGACAAGGCACCCCACCAGGGCACCGACAAAATAGGAGATTACGCAATGACGGAGCAAGGAAGGGCATTCCAATTATTGTAAATAATTATCAATTTGATAATGAAAATCACAGACTTTAAGTACAATAAAACACACATGTGTAAGAAGGTAATAAATTTAAAAGACTGTAAGAGAATTACAGGGAAAATACAGTAAAACAATTGTGACAAAAAATGCTTCATCATTTGTAAAGGAAAGGAAAAGGAAAAGGAAATTGATGTACATTTGCAAAGTTAAAGACTATGGAGTCTGATCAAATTGCTCGGGAACACGAACTTCAGAGGGAGATCATAGACCTTAAATGTAGGAGCATGAGGGATAACTTATTATTCTTTAATATCCCAGAAGAAAAAGATGAAAATTGCGAATCTAAATTATTAGACTTAATGGAATCAAAGTTACAGATCACTGATGCAAAAAGTAGTATTAAACTCCAAAGATCACATAGAATCGGTGGGTTCAACCCTTCCAAGACCCGACCAATCGTGGCAAAATTCAGAGATTTCTCAGATCGTGAAAAGGTACGGAAGTCTGCAAAGCATCTTAAAGATACGCACTACGGAATAAGCGAACAATTCCCGGCAGAGGTTATGGAAAAAAGAAGAAAACTCCTTCCAATTATGAAAAAAGCCCGGTCTGAGGGGAAAGAAGCTTATCTCAGTGTGGACAAACTATACATCGATAAACAACTGTATAGAGGGCCTGTATAGGATAAAGCTGAGGGTGTTTTGAAATGTTGTTCCTGGAATGTCGAAGGGTTAACATTAGCAAAGCGTTCTTCTTGCGACTTCTTAAAACTCATTAACGGATATGATGTAATTTGCTTATCAGAAACATGGACAGGTAAATCATCGGTAATAAAACTTAACGGCTATAGTAATCCTATTCACTCTTATAGATACTTCCAGCACAGAAAAGCTAAACGTCATAGTGGTGGAATAATAATTTACATTAAAGATAATATAAGAAAAGGTGTTAAACTTGTGAAAAAAGATATAGACTGCATTGTATGGCTGAAACTTGACGGGTTGTTTTTTCATACCGAAGAAGATATATATTTAGCAATAACATATTTTCCGCCGGAAAATTCGCCATTTCATAATATTTATGAAACAGACTTATTTCAACAATTAGAAACTGATATCAACTATTTCCAAAATAAGGGAGCTATATTTGTAGTAGGGGATCTTAATTCAAGAATAGGCCGAAAATTAGACTATATTGAAAATGACTATAGCATTCATAATGAAGATCAGGACATCGATATACCGTTACCGCGAGCAACACGTGATTTAACATCAAATCGTTTTGGTGACTATTTATTAGACCTTTGTAAAGCTACATTTGCGGCTTATAATGAGGAACGGGGATTGAGGATCGAGAACAAGTTATATAAAGGGATATTCTCAAAATTATCGAACAATGTAATAAACGCGGTTTTTAAGTAACGGATAACATGGGCATTGTCCACGAAATAATTTTTGTTTGTATAACGTGATATTACCTTTGTCCTGAATAATATAATTCCTGTGGCTCTACTATAGATCGGTATATTCTACGAGATGTGCCATCAATAGCCGTGACCGCTATATGTACTCGCATTTGTTCCATAAGTACATAGCTTCAGTAAACCATTTCATTTATCTTTTTATTTAAAGAATTATGTAAGTGTTTCGGGTGTCTCACAACTCAACTTGGAGAATTTGTATTTCTGCTATTTCAGTAAGAATCGTGGTGGGATTATAAGCAAAAGTTATACCGAAATAAATGATCAAGATATTAAATAAGCATGATTAAGAAAAAACGATAAACTACATAAGTAATAAGTATTTACATCGTAAATCAGTAAATCTTAATCTGCACCAAATTCTTATATATTTTGGCATCGTGTAAACGATAGGTTCAAACCCTGAATTAAATGCTATAAACTTTATCAGTGTCTATCTAAATGACGTTTTTTATCATTATGCTGTAGCATTATGCTGATGTTTTTATAATAGTCCATATACAATTTAAATCCTCCATAACACTTTTAGTAGAGCGTGCCTCGACTACAGAAGGTTATTAGTTCAAGCCACGTGATGCCAAATACATGAAAAATGGTACCAACAGCTTCTGGCTTGGCGCTCAGCATTTAAACAGTAGTGAAAATGTTTAATATATCGAAAGCAAGCAATAGCCAAATATGATCTAAAAAGTGTTGAAATATCTGCGGAAGCACAGCAAAAAATCACGAAAATTGCAGACTCGGTTTGATTAATTCTGTACATGAGGGAAAATAAAAAGTGCAACATCCCTCACGCCCCTAGCACCGGCTTAAGCGGTACACTTAAAAATGCTGGACTCAATTATCTTGAAGGACTAGAAGTGAAGTACGGGGCATTTTTTGTTTACGACTGCCACTGGACACTTGACACATTTAGGCCGTACAGCGTTTTGAATGAAGGTTATAGTGATAAAAAAACAACAACAACAAAAAAACAGGTGCAGTTTCTATCGAAAGGACGGACATCTAAATCAAGGGCAAGCTAAAGCGGCTCACATGCAGCAGTCATTGTAAAGTCAATCTCTGATAGATCTTAACTGATGTAAAAAATGAAGACCAACACGGACAGCTGACCAGCAGCTTCGCTCCCGCCTAATCCAGAGACAACTTCAACCCGGTCCAGACCCAAGTGAACAGCGCAACCGAGGCCGTAATCAAGAAATCAAGATGATCGTGCTAAATCTGTTAAACGCTTTGGCATCATCAGAGGACAAAACTAGTGATGCACGTCAGCGCACTAGACAAAACGACCGTCAACGCAAACGACCAATGGCTGAGCTTATTAAAAAAGTTCCGAATTTACTTAAAGAACTTGGCATTAGATCGTCTTGTAGTTACTAAAAATGAAAATTACGATGTAAAGAAAGAAACACAACAAAATATCCTGGTCTTATTTTAAAGTGTACATAATATGTGTTGAGATGACCCCTCAATATAAGCGTAACTGTTCCTCGGTAATCCTACCCGATATTATGTCGCAAATGTCTAATATGCGCGTAGTAAATGGTCGTCTGCACGATGACGCATTACAGGGAAATTTTACATGCATGACCCATAATGGGGAAAGTGTTGTTGACTACATATTAACAACATCGCCGAATTTCAATAAAATTTCATACTTCGCCATTGAAAAATTTAACGAGTATTCGAATCATACACCAGTGTCTTTTTATTTAAAAACATCTACTGTTACCAACAAACCCACCAACATCACACGAACATTTTATAAATGGTACCCGGAGCATAAAGACTCATTTGTGAATGATTTAAAAAATGATGCTGACAGTTTGGAGCAGGCATTAAATAAAAAAATTAATAATAGTTGTGATGTAGAGGATGTTGTTTCATTATTTACAGATTTTTTACATAGCAAAGATTGTAAATATTTAAAAAAAAAACGGTTAAAAGAAAAGATTCAGGTTTTACATCTGTTGATGGCAATAGGCAAAAGTGGTATAATGAGGAATGTAGGCGTAAATTTGAATTATATAAAAGAGCTGTTTTTAATTATAATATGAACAAATGTAATGAAACGAGACAATTAGTTTACAAGTCAAAAAAAGATTATAAATATTGCTGTAGAAAAACAAAAAATGAGTTTAATAGAAATTTAAGTCATAAAATGAATAATATGAGGCGTCAAAGCCCACGTACATTTTGGAAATTGTTTAAGAAGAAAAGTAATAGTCCTTCCGGAGAAAGTGTTAGTATTGAAGATTTTTATACTCATTTTGAACATTTAGCTAGTGTCTCAGATGTTAATTCAAACGAACAATGTATTGATTTTTTGGCACATTTTTTAGACAGAAGTGACTCCAGTACATTTTCAGAGCTTGATTCACCAATTACAATAAATGAAATTACATCTGCTACCAAAGCATTGTCTTCTAATAAAGCCTGTTCTATAGACAATATACTATATGAGTATTTTAAAGTTAGTATTGATGTATTAGTACGTCCTATTCAGTTGTTATTTAATTATATCTTAGAGCAGGGTAAATTTCCACCTAGTTGGTCAAAGGGGGTTATAATACCACTATATAAGAAAGGTGACACAAGTGACCCGAATAATTATAGAGGTATTACCCTTATCAGTTGTTTTGCGAAGCTATTTACTGCTATTTTGAATAATAGATTAAAGAAATGGACCACGGATTATGATATTCTAACGGATGCACAATTTGGTTTTAGATCTCACTTTAGCACAGTTGATGCTGTTTTTATATTGAATTCACTTATTGAAAAGCAGATGAAAAATAAATCCTTTTTAATGTGTTGTTTTGTTGATTATAAAAAGGCATACGACCTGATTGATAGAAGCTGTTTATGGTATAAGCTTATTAACTCAGGCATTGATGGCAAATTGTTTGTTATTTTACGATCAATGTATGACAGTGTCAAGTTATGTGTAAGTCATATGAATTCTCTATCAGATTTTTTCGAATGTAACTTAGGACTTTTGCAAGGGGAGATAACTTCCCCGATACTATTTTCCATGTTTTTGAATGATATAGAAATGCATCTACAGCAAAGTAGCAGTGCAGGTATTACTCTGGACCAATTATCTATATATTTATTACTGTTTGCGGACGATGCTGTATTGTTTTCTGAAACAAAAGAAGGTTTACAAGATTCACTTAATAATTTAGAAACTTATTGTAAAAAATGGAATCTTAATGTCAATATTGAAAAAACTAAAATTGTTATTTTTAGAAAGGGTGGTAGAATAATTGAGTCTTTTAAATGGACATTTGCTGGAAAAGAAATAGAAATTGTTAGTTCATTCAATTATTTAGGGGTTGTTTTTTCAAGTGGGGGTTCGTTTTACAATGCAACAAAAACTTTGGCTGGGAAAGGAATAAAGACAATGAATTCACTTTTTAATATAACACGTGGTATGAATGTACCTGTAAATATAATGTTTAATTTGTTTGATGCATACGTATTGTCAGTAATGAATTATGGCTGCGAAGTCTGGGGCTTTTTAAAGGCTGAGAATTTAGAGCGGGTTCATAAAAAAATTTGTAAATGGTTGCTTAATGTAAAACGAACAACAAATACATTATCTCTGTATGCAGAACTGGGCAGATTCCCATTGTACATTAATAGATATGTTCGAATTGTTAAATATTTTTTAAAATTGTATGGTCGAAAAATGGAAAACTGTATAATCAGAACTATTGTTACAGACCAAAGACTAGACATTTTTCATAATACTGCTACTGTTAATTGGTCGTCGAAAATACGTGTTTTATTACTAAATGCCGGATTTTGTGATGTCTGGGAATTTCCAGAGTCAGTTAATATAGATGTATTTATACCAGTGTTTAATAATCGCCTTAGGGATATTTATATGACTAATTGGCATGCTAGTGTTCAGACATGCAGTTCGTTATTTTTGTATAGACATATTAAGTCTATTTTTAATCGTTCTGAATACCTCACTATTGTTGATATTCCTAGATACAGAAATGCTATTGCTAGATTAAGACTAAATTCACACAACCTGCATATTGAAACTGGTCGACATAACAATATTGAAAGAAATCGTCGTTATTGTTTAATTTGCAATTCAAATGATATCGAGGACGAATTCCACTTTGTTTTAGTTTGCCCTTTTTATCATGAAAACAGGAGAAAATATATTCCTAGATTCTACTATACACGTCCAAGTATGTTTAAATTTATAGAACTGCTAAATTCAAAATGTAAAAAGACTCTACATAATCTTGCAATTTATTGTATTAAATGCTTTAGGGAGAGAACTGACCAATTAAATAACTTATAAATCTTTTTTGTTATTATAATAACAACGTCATAATATTCCTATGAAAGATATATGTACTTTAATAACATGCTTACTCAGATCACTCTCAACTGTTGAATTTAGACAAATATTTGTTGTAAAGTTTATTTATAATTTATATGATTTGTGTGTATTATTGTATGTTATGACGATGAGCTGTATGCTTAAGTCTTTAATAAAATTTCTGTTCTGTTCTGTTCTGTTCTGTATTATTTAAAGAACATTATAACAGATTTCAATCATTTATTTGTTTCTTCTTTATTGTGATTAGAAATCTGAATAACTCGTTTGGACAATCATGACACAATTATCAAAGAAAGCATATAGTTATGAAATGGAGAAAATCGAAGCATCGTTTGTTAGTTCATGTTCCTTACCAATACATTTGTAATTCTAATGAAAACTTTATGATATCTTCCAGACAAGTATTGAATACATATAATATATACATCACCCTTGTGTCCTCATAATGTTTCCTCACTAT